CTGTGTTCTAGTCAAAAATCCACCTATAGCTTACCATTAGCTAGCATTTCTAAGTGCATTCCATATTATTCAGTGATCTTCTTTCAAGGCGTTTTCTTTTTTTTTTTTTTTTTTAATAGTATTTTGCTCTGATGCCTGGGCTGGAGGGCAATGGTGCAGTCACAGCTCACTGCAGCCTCAACTCTGGTGCTCAGGTGATTCTTCCACCTCAGGAGCTGGGACTACAGGCACAGGCCACCACATCTGACTAGTTTTTTGTAGGGATGGAGTTTCTCCATGCATGCTATCCAGGCTGGTCTCCTGAGCTCAAGCAATTCACCCACCTTGGCCTCCCAAAGTGTTGGAATTACAGGCATGAGACACTGCACCTGGCCCCCAAAATATGTATGTTCTAATAGAACTAAAATAGGGGGAAAAAATGGAAGAAGATAAAAAATAAAGTCATGATTACAACAGAAAAGCATAACCATACAAGTGAACTACAATTTGGCCTAGAGCTGCCCAAAAGAGAAAGAGGAGCAACAAAGAGAGCTGCCCAAAAGACAAAGAGAGCAACCAAAAGACTCTTTAAGATGAAAACAAATCCCAAATGCCCATCAGTGATAGACTGGATAAAGAAAATGTGGCACATATACACCATGGAATACTATGCAGCCATAAAAAAAGGGTGAGTTCATGTTCTTTGCAGGGACATGAAGCCGGAAACTAATTCTCAGCAAACACACGAACAGAAAACGAAAAACTGCATGTTCTCACTCATAAGTGGGAGTTGGAACAATGAGAACACATGGACACAGGCAGGGGAACATCACACACTGGGGTCTGTTGGGGGGTGGGAGGCTAGGGGAGGGATAGCATTAGGAGAAATACCTAACGTAGATGATGGGTTGAGGGGTGCAGCAAATCACCATGGCACGTGTATACCTATGTAATAAACCTGCATGTTCTGCATGTGTATTCCAGAACTTAAAGTATAATAAAAATAAAATAAAAAACCGCTAATAGAAAAAAGAGAGAAAAACAAATTAGGCTGGTTGCAGTGGCTCACACCTGTAATCCCAGCACTTTGGGAGGTTGAGGCAGGTGGATCACCTGAGGTCAGGAATTTCAGACTAGCCTGACCAATATGGTGAAACCCTGTCTCTACTAAAAATACAAAAATTAGTTGGACATGGTGATGTGTACCTGTAGTTCCAGTGACTTGGGAGGCTGAGACAGGAGAATTGTTTGAACCTGGGAGGCAGAGGCTTCAGTGAGCCAAGATTGTGCCACTGCACTCCAACCTGGGCGACAGAGTGACTTCGTCTCAAAAAAAAAACCAACCAAACAAACAAACAAAAAAAACAAAGAAAAAAAACCCCACACTACCCCCACTGAAAATCAACTGTTTAGGAGAAGCACATATTTTGCTGAGATCAAGACCCAAGATAACTTTCTCCTCTGGGTCTTCATAAAAGGCACACTATGTGATATATTTAATAGTAGCCATTAGCCTTAAAAACACATGTCTTGAAAATATGTTTTGATGACTGTGTTTGCTATTAGGAGCCAACAGCATAGAAACAAAGTGTAATGCAGTAACAGTAATTCTATGAAGAGCCAAAATGGGGATCACATATGTAGCTCTCTGAAGATTTCCTAGAGGATAAAATTTAGATTCCTCTCTCTGCTAGTTGGGAATACAAACTTGTCTTATCATAATCTCCAAACTCATGTGTTTCTATAAGTAATAAAATCCATTTCAAAACCAAATTATTTTTTATATCTAAAGCCACTATTCCCTTTTAATATCACAGACTGAAGTAGACCACATAATTTATCTAAGCATGGTTTTCTAAATAAATGTGCTGTAAATGGCTGATCTCAGTGTAGTAGATACATTTTAAAATGCTGTCTTATGGTTGTACTAACTATATGTAAACTTATTTTTAAAAGGTTAAGTTAAAAGATTGTCCACAAAAATGTTATGTTTCAGTTGCATTCAATTTTTAAAATTATTAATACAGGTTATTTTAAAGTGCATTGCAACTATTCACAAAGACTTTCAAAAAATGATCAGCAACATAAAGTGTAAACCTAGAAAGAAAATCAGACTCATTCCACATCTGTGAAATTCACCACTTAAATATAATTCAATTTACAATAATTGTAAAAGATAGGGAGAATATAGAAAATGGAGGGGGAAAACGGTATTCAACATATGAACAACACTGCTACTGTTGTAGTGAAAAAATAATTTATTAAATGAACATAATACTGGGAGTAAAATGCATTACAAAAGTAAAAAAAAAGTAAATTATAAATATAAATAATAGTGGTTTACCTAATTAACAGATTTTTTTCTTCATCCTTGCAGAACTTTAAATACAATCTTCCAAAAAGCCAGATTGAAAAAGTAGGTGGTTCACTTTAGGACAGTCAACACTATAATATCTAGAATTTGGCAAAGATCTGTTATATAAGATTCAGAATTGTACTTATTAAATGATTGTTCTTTTTAAGCCTTTTGCAAGTCCAGAATAATAATTTTAATAAATAAGCAGATCAACTTGTTATATTCATTTCTGTCTCTAAGGATAGCAAACATATTTCTAATATACATTGTGAAAAATGTTCTGAGGGCATACCTGTGCACTTTGATAAAGACTAAAAATTTTTGGTTATTTGGTAAAAAGTTATCTCCTTTTTACTCCAAAGGTTAACAACAGCCATTGGATGTGTTGATATATGTCAGTAGAATTTTAAACAGCCACACCTTAATATATACATCAAGATACTGATAAACTTTTAGATAGTGAAGAAAAAAATGGAGGTTGTTATTCTACTTCTTCAGTAAGTTTCCCTCAGTTTTTAGAAAGCATACCGACTGGGACTGCAAAATGCCAGCATGATTACAATGCATATTAACAGCAATATGCAAAACAGTGAAAACAGAAAATAAATAACTTCACACTATAAAAATGAAACAAGGCACTTTCAATGACTGTACACAAAGCTGAAATAAACAAACATTTTTTCATAAAGCTGACTCATAGACTCTAGGAGACTTTTGTAGAAAGTGAAATAGTAAAGGCACTACATAATTCTTTCTCCTAACTCTACTTACTAAAGAAATCCACCAATTAAACTTGGCAAAAAAGAGTTTAATGATCATAAAGTGCATCACTTGGCTAAATATATTAAAAAGAAAATCAGCCATAATACAGTATAATAACATCTTCACATATATAGAAATAAAAATGCAATGTCAGGAATCAAGCCAGTTAGGAACTTTGCAGTATATATGGCTTTTTATTTTTTTTGTATAAGCCCCTATTTATATAGAATCTATATTTTCAAAAGAATATGCCTTAACAAAAGGAGGTAGTATTCTGAAAGAGGCAAACTCACTAAATCTAGGTAGGTAGAGATAAAGATTATGTGGAAACTAAACAAATGCAACATATTAATAACCATGACACTTATTAAAGTATTTTGACATTAATGAATCAGCTTTTAAAATCAAGGCTTTCTTATCATGTTAGCTATATGATTACAGCTCTTTCAAGTAGTTTTCCTTTGGTACTAGAAAGTCATTTTTTTTTCTGAAGAGCATTAACATTTCAAATAAGCAAATTTTATTTAGAGATGGTAAACATGTAAACATTAAAAACTCAACTAAATTTTATCTTTACTATGATGGTCACTGATTTATACCATTAATGAAAATATGTCATGTCAGAGATATAAAGAAGAATATATCACCCAGATAGTAACATGCAATTAATTTCCATTTGATTAATATAATTGGTGATTTAACACACATACATATATACACAGTAGTTTGGAGCAATATATAGGCAAAACACCATAATAATTTATGCACAGTATTTAAGAATGTGGGCCTTGATAACAGAATTCCAACAAGATTTTTTTTTAGTGTATTAAATATAATTGGATAAAATTAAAAGCAGCAGTGAATATATTTCCTATCTTAATAACTTAAAAAAATTCTTTATGTAAACTTCATACATGTGCATTCTTGCTCTTTTCTATATGTTTTACAGTTCTTTTTTGCTTTTAAAATAGTATTTGCCACTCTTCTAAATTTGCTGAATAGTCTAAATGGAGGGAACCGCTTGTGATATATTAGTCTTCTTCAGCATCATATGCCACTTCTGCTACTTCTATCTCTGATACAGCATTTTCAGGTTCACTAAAACTTAAGCATGGTTTATTATCAGCTCTGCAAAAAAAAAAAAAAAAAAAAAAAAAAAAAGCAACGTGTCAATGACAGGATTGGATGCATGCTATTATTTCATTTCACTATTACCTTTAAAAATCTTCTACCTTATAGAAAGAATATTTACGTATTTAGTGTGAAAGTATTTAATGTAAAAGAATATTTAAACATTCAATCAGAAATTTAATATTTTTAAGTTGTCATTGCCAGGTAAGACCCTTGGAGATAGGTTTTAAACACTTTCAGCTCTCCAAACTACCATTTACCAATAAAAATCTACTTGGTAATTACCTTTATCAACATAAAATTGTTCTCAGAATTACAGTCGACCATTACCACTAAACTATTAACAATTACCTTGGATTTGTATGCAATAAAAACTCTATGTGCTTTTAAATACATTACCTTTTCATCATTCCTATTAGGTAGGAAGGGTAGTTTGCTATTATAATGTCCTATTTTTTGAATGGAAAAAGGGTGATATTGAGGGAGATTAAGGTAATCTGTCAATATTTTAAAAATTAATTAATTACCCGAGTCAGAGGCCAGTTAATGCAGACACAGCTCTAAAGTAAGTAATGAGAAAACTTACAGCCTGATGTCAAAGATACTTTTTTAGGAAGAGCCTAAAATATCTCCAATCATTCTCTGCTTGCTTAGTAGATTCATGATACAGTAACACTGAGTTCATAAAAAAATACTCTATAGAGTATCAGAATCACTTTCCTCCAATTATTCAAAGGATTAAGCTATCATAAACGAAATATTATGTACCTAGATTCTTCATCCAGGACATCCTGATCAACCTCAAGTGCAGAGGACTTCACCTTTAGGATCTGTTCACCTTCTGTTTCTGACACATCCAGTGATTCTTCAGGTTCTACAGACAATGTTCTAAAAGTATGTTATAGCAACAAGTTATTTTCTATGAACAAAACAGGCATATGTTTAATGTTGTGAATACATGTAGCTATCGCAGTCTTTAGCTGTTAAGGCTTAATGTAGTCACATAGCTAATAAACAGCTCACTCTGGAAGTCAACAGAGAAATTAGTAGCTGTGATTAATTTAAAATGACTTTAGCATCAATTCAAGATATGCTGATGAGATGGCAAACTAGAGCTTTCATATGGGAAAAGTTGGCATAAATGCCTAGAAACTAAAATATTACTTAAATAAAATAATGGTATTCCATTTAATAGTGATTATTTATTTAATAATGATTTAACAATGATTAAAATGAATAATGTTTATCGTGTTGAACAGTTAGCGGCTTATTTTCCTGATGTTTCCCATCCTTCAATGTTCAAAATTTATTTAGCAAAATTAAATTATGCTAAATAAAGTATACTTTTCCCAATGAAGTATGCCAAAAGCCTACAACTTTCAGAATCAGAAAATTCCTAAATCATATTAAAATATAAAGGGCATTTAGCCCAAAGTATTAAGGGTTGAATTAGTTAGAGTAGAAATTCAAGTATCACAACACACCTGATTCTGTTCTCTAAAGTGTCTATATGAAGTTGCTTCTCACTGAGCAGTTTCTTTAGTGATTCCATCTCCTTTTGTTTTTCAAGTAGTTCTTTCTGTAAGCGGTAGTTAGTCTCTTCTAAAGTTTCACAGAATGCCTTAAAAAAAACAACAAACAAAACTAAACACATGCAGAAAAAGAATACAATTAATTACAAATGCAGTATCTTTCTCAAGGGCATTATTGAAGAGTCAAAGAACACAGATAATCAAAATAAAGTATGAAACTCCAAATGATTTGTTCTCTACTCTCATCTTTTTAGGTCACTGGTATGTTAACTTTCTTAGCCCCATCCAGCAGGGGGACATAACTACAAGTTCTTTTTCTTAAGATTTATAGTAGTAAGCTAGTGTGCCTGAAGTGAGTATGTGATATCCCTTTAGTGTAGAACTGGGATAAAAAATAATCAGCAACTATTGCTTTAGTTTTTATTCTCCTTAATCTACTTTTGCCTAGTCATACATGATTACACTTAAAAAAAGTCAATTGTGGTTGATTCCATCTGTATTAGCTCAGTAGACATACTACTGTAACAGCATTTTGGTAATATTGACACTTGGGATGCAGTAACAGGATGGTGCAAGAAATGAGGAGTCAGGTACATTTTGGGAAGTGAGTGACAAAAAATGGTAGATTCAGGAATAAAGCAAAGAACCTAAAGAGCAAAGCCATTAATAAAAGTCACTCAACAACACAGGAATACATCAAGAAAGACTGTTTGTTTCAATCTGGTCTCTAGGTGGGCGAGGTAAAGTCTCTCCTGAAGAATCTAATCTAAAAAGCCTCGTACGGATTTTGGGAAAAATAATGTATCCCAAGGAAGACAAATAAAAACAAATACATACATAAATACAGGATACTGAAATTGCAAATACCAAAATCAAATAGAAGATCTCTAAAACACCAGGAAGACAAACCAGTTTACTATAAAATTGTAGGACAGTAGGGGACTGAGAATAGATGTCATAAAACAGTCTATGTCAAAGGCAGTGGAAAACACTTTAAAGCACTGAGAAAAATAACTATCAAGGTAGAATTCTACACTCAGTTAAATCACACTTCAGGAATGAGAACAAAATTAAAAGACATTTGAACATCAAAGATCTAAACATTACCAATACACATTCACTGAAAGAACTATTAAATTACATACTTTAAGACGAAGTTAACTGAATCCCAAAGGAAAGAGAAAGATGAAAGTAGGAATGGTGAGGAATGAAAGTGGCAAACACTCAGGTAAATCAAAAGAAACACTGTGTGAAATGATAATGATGGCCAACTTTGAGGAGGGCTGTAAACAATCTGTTTCCAAAATATGAGAACATATGACCATTAAATAAAAGACAATGACTACAGAACTTAAAAACCAAGAGCAGAGAACAAAGAGAAAAACTCATTAAATAACATGAAAGGAAAGAAAGAAGGAAAAAAGCATTTTATAAAGCAGAATAAAAAGCACAAAATAATAGAAATAAATACAAATATATTGGTAATTACCATATATAAAATAAACTCAAAACTTAACAGATTTTTCAGATTGTATTAAAAAAACTATGATGTTTAAAACAGACATATTTAAAATACAAAAGTAGAAACATACTTATCAGGCAACAGACAAATGTTAGCCTTTTCTCCCCTACCAAAAGTTGTAGTTTTCTTAATATCTGACAGAATGCAGTTCAAGATGATAAACATTATTAGGCACAAAGAGTCTCTATCTAATAATAAGAGTAATAATTCACCAGGAATATTTTAAATGCATAATTACAAGAAATTGAACAAATCCACACCATAAGGGGTAAATTTGACATAACTCTTGGCAATTAATGGATTAAACAAAAAAAGAGTTAAGATTAAAAAAATTTAACAATACAAATTAGTAAGTTTGATCTAATGAACATATATTGAACTCAGAGTCTAACAATTAAGAAAGAAATACATATTCTTTTGAAGCACACATGGAAAATTTAGAAAATTTATCACATATATGCAGATCCCAAAGACTGCAGAACACTGTCAACAATAACCAAAACTGGTGTCAGAGAGAACATAATCTCTGAAAAAAATGCAAAGAGACTAAAAAACAGTCAATAATGTATGAAAAAAATGTTTGAAAAATTAAAGAGAATTCTAAATTTATGGAGCAAACAAGATATTAGAAGGAACAATATAAGATATGAATGATAATGAAAATATTAAGACTTGTGAGATGCAATTTGACTGTTATATAAAAGAACTGTATAATACTAGAAACAACTGAGAAAGCATCCAATTCAAGAAGTCAAAGAACATACTAAAACCAAGTATAAGAAAGGAATTAAGAGAGAGGAAAAGAATTTAATCAAGAGAATCAAAAAGGCAAAAAGTGGTTCTTTGAGAAGACTATTAAAATACACCCAACCCAAGGAAAAAAGACCAGTGGAAACAATAGTGAGATTGAAAGTGTATATATAACTAAAGATAGCTTAAGAGATTTTAAAAAGTCATGTGATACTACTAAGAACAACAGTCTCACGGTGGCTCATGCCTGTAACCCCAGCACTTTGGGAGGCTGAGGTGGGCGGATCACAAGGTCAGGCGATCAAGACCATCCCGGCTAACACAGTGAAACCCCGTCTCTACTAAAAAATACAATAAAATTAGCCGGGCATGGTGGCTGGCGCCTGTAGTCCCAGCTACTCAGGAGACTGAGGCAGGAGAATGGCGTGAACCCGGGAGGCGGAGCTTGCAGTGAGCAGAGATGGAGCCACTGCACTCCAGCCTGGCGACAGAGCGAGACTCTATCTCAAAAAAGGAAAAAAAAAAAAGAAAAAAAATGTATTTTAAAATCTAAACAAAATGGTCAATTTCCAGAAAAATACAAATTTTCAAAACTGAAACTCCCGCCCCCAAATAATCTGAATACACTACAGACATTAAAGAAACAGAATCAGTTGTTAAAAGTCTACTATAAGACAAACTAAAGAAAATATCAAATCCAGATTGTTTTACAGGTGAATTCTAACAAACATTTAGGGAACAACCAATACGCATTTATTCAAATGGTTCTGGATAACAGAAAAAGAGGGACTATTCCTTATTTTATAAAACTGGTATAATTTTGATGCCAGACCCAACAAAGGGTAGTAACAGAAACAAATATTATATACGCCAAAATTCTAAATAAAATCATTACAATTCAAATCCAGTAATTTAAAAAATGCTGAATTTGAGTTAATCTCATAAATGTTTTATCATCTGAAAATCTATGAATGTAATTTACTACACCAATAAAAAAGCCCATATGATCATCTATACAGATGCAAGTGAAAGCATTCACACAGACACACGCATACACACACACACACACACACACACACACACACCCCTACAACCTCTTAACTAGAAATAGAACTTCTTTAATCTAAAAACAACAAACATGATAAACAAATCAACATAACTCACAACTACCACTAGCCAAGAGAAAACACCATATCCAACAGCAAAATACAGGATCATTTTCATTAAAGTTAGGATGAGAGGAAAAGGATGTCCACCATAATGGCTTCAATTAACGTTGAAAGAACCTATCTAGCAAAATAATACAGAAAAATGAAATGAAAGATATTAAGTATTAGGAAAAAATACATTGTTAATATTGTAGGGGATATGATTACCTATATGGAAAATCCAAACAGATCTATAAACTAATGAGAGAATGAGACATACAAAATAGATATATAAAAATCAATAATAAAACCAATGGCTTACAATGCAATAAAAATACCAATTATTTCATCAACAAAAATGATGAGAAATCCTATGACTTTCCCTAGAAGTTTAAGAAAAAAATGTAAACTTTTATTGAAGAACTTAAAAAAAACCTTCTATATGCAAAGATCTATTAATAAGAGGATTCAATACTATAAAGATACTCTTCAAAATTAATAAATAAATGAATTAAAATTCCAAACAAAATGGCAATAGGGTTTTTTCATGGAACTCACGAAGTTGTTCTAAAATTCATATGGAAAAGTGAATAACCAACTTGGAAGAATAAGGGCACCCTTGTTCTGCCAGTTAATAGGATTATTTAATTATAGTACTTAACACAATATAGTACTAGCAGAGGGATGAGACTACTAAAAATGAACTGAGTGGCCAGGCATGGTGGCTCATGCCTGTAATCCCAGCACTTTGGGAGGCTGAGGCAGGCAGATCACCTGAGGTCAGGAGTTCAAGGCCAGCCTGGCCAACATGAAGAAACTCCCCCTCTACTAAAAATACAAAAATTAGCTGGGGGTGGTGGTGCATGCCTGTAATCGCAGCTACTCAGGAGGCTGAGGCAGGAGAATCACTGGAATCTGGGAGGCAGAGGTTGCAGTGAGCCA